TTCAGAATGAGTGGACTTCAGTTTGTGGCGAATATTGCTTAATGTATTTACTATATAAGTTTCAAGGATGTTCAATACATAGTTTTACGAGTATATTTACAAGGAACACATTGTACAACGATATTTTAGTGGATGAGATGTTTCGCTCCTATTTTATAGATAATAATTAATAAGATTTTGTATTTTATAAATAAAAATTGTAACAAAATTATGTAATGTGTTTTATTGATGATTCAGATTAGCGTTGTATAAACAAAGAACTATAACACAATAGCACTGATATAGTCGACGCACACGCTGCAATGAAGGTGATTAAGGAACAATAGAACAATAGAAATAGGAACAATGGGACGCTAATGACGGTGGAGGCCCTTACCGGATATCAATTAGATATTAGCTAATTGATCTACACATCTCCGGAACCGTGCATTCTACACAAAAATGGACCGCGGATTCGTGATCAGAGCATGCCAAAACCTTTTTTTTTTTTTTTAGGATCGGGCGTCGACGAACGTCGTTGAACCACGTCTGACTCAGGTGGTCTAGAAGTGGTACAACTACACTACTTCCGAAAATCCAAAGTAAATAAAAGAAATAAAAACAAATCCTATAAAAAATATTTAGTAATAGGCTGGTCAAGATCGCGTCTCACAGAGGGACCGCACATAGGCAATCGTAATGTGAGACCAGACCTGTGTGTGGAATCTTTTACCACCGGCGATTTTTCCGGACCAATACGACTTGGGGACCACCAAGAAAAGAGCTTAACCCTTTCTAAAAGGGCGGCAACGCACCTGCAATTGCCCTGGTGTTGCGCTTTCATGGTATTTAAATTTTTAATTAACTGTCCCTAGTTATTTATTTGTCTCTGCGAAATACACACTTCGCTTGAAACCTTATTTTCTGATCTATGGAAATCCCTGCAGCAACGTTTAATTGCGTTCCATCAGGTGAGCCGCATGCTCGTTTACCCCCACTTCTAAAAAAAAGAAGATTGATCGACGCAAGCGCAATGCGGCTGACCGGCAACAACTGGATGTGTAAAGCCACCGATCGGGCTTAGTAACGCGTCTTGAGACAGGAAGTCCAGCTGTAGACTGCTGCTGGGTAGTGAACGTGAAAATAAAAACTTTTTTATCTATTTATATTATAATAAAATCGTAAAGGACCAAAAGCTATAAATTCAATAACATGCAAAAGAAGTTTAAGATTATTACTCGACGAATTAGAAACGATACCGTTGCAGAAACAAATTTATTGAAGTTTAGTTTGTTTTTCCGTTGACATGTCAGTGCTTAACATGAAAATCATATGGCCGATTTAGTTGGAGAATCAGGATGTAAATCATTACGCTATTGATTTTAGACCAAGGGGAGAATCACAACACGAGACTCGAAACCGAGATTACGCTTTTTGCTGCATAGATACGATCATTAGATACTTACGTACGTTCTACTATATTCTTACTGGTTGTAGCACAGTAAAATAATATGTTAGCTGACTTCATACTATAACAGCCGTACAGCCTATCAAAGTCCACTGCTGAACATAGCCCCCGGCCTCTCCTTATAGATTAATTACCTCACGAGGAAGATATTTGCCCATAGTTGCCACATTTCCTAGTTCGTTTCTCTTTGTCGTTCCTAACGACACCCGTTAGACGATATCGATATTGGGTAGTGGATATCCTTCCACTGCCTCTAAAGAGAAAGCGGACTTCATATTATCTCATTTTTTATTTGTCAGATGTGTGGGTAGTCTTAAGATGATTCCTTCAATTCGAATTAAGATTTAAAGTATGGAGTGTAGAGTAGAAGGAGAACCATCTTATAAGGTGCGAAAGTTGAAAAAGTGTCCCACTATATACTGAAAATAGAGGTTCCAAAACCTACCACAATAGCGCTGGCATCTGAAAAACTACGATATGAAGTAGCTGTTGTAGACGGAGTGAAGTCAGCTGAATTCAAATATTAAAAAAATTCCATGACTAGAGTAGTTTGTAAAATGCCAGTATACAAAACCTCAACTATTTACTTAGTACAAAACCAAGCGGATTGGTCGGTCCTTGTTTATTTCTCCATCCTATTCTAATTACTTTTGGCGCCTTTTTTTAATTTATCCTATGCTACTGCAGCGCCACCCTTATTGGACGCGCCTTTAGGGACACTTTTCATATACAGAGATGGTCCTCCTTGTACTCTACACTCCATAATTTAAAGTTAACCATTTAATTATGTCAAGCAGATGTGAAGACCGTCAATATGCATTGTTGCTGAGCTGGCACTTCCTTCCTTCTCAGAAGTGGCAGGAGACATTTGCCCAACATTGGGACATATAATTACTATAACTTTACTAAGTTACGTTTCATGTTATAACATATATCTAACTGTTTGTTCGCGTACTATTAATTTAAAGACGTGCGTTTATTCCGCGAGCTACTACGGCGCCAAACTAAAAATAATCGACACCTCTCTCTCAACATTGCAAACAGACATGTTGAAATTCCATGAATTTTTAAGCTCCAAGGCACTCCTGACTCGCGACTCGCATTCATGAATTATATACGGACTGCTTATTCATACTTCCGGAAAGAACGGACGCCACAGACCTACTTGGCAAGGTTTATATGTTTCTTATGTGAACTTATTTGCATTTAAGACATATTTGGTATGGAACTACGTAATATACTTGTAAGTGTTGTATCTATAATTTAAAATTAAAAATTTTGTACAGCATAAGTATAAGTTATTAAGAATAACTCAAAAACTATTGGTCTGACCTTGATCAAATTCAAATGGGACCACACGAGAAGTACCAGCTTTCAAATAAAAAAGAATCATCGAAATCGGTTCACCTAGTAAAAAGTTATAAGGTAACACACAAAAAAAAACATACAGTCGAATTGAGTACCGTCTCCTTTTTGGAAGTCGGCAGAAAATAGTTCTAACATAGAATTATTACGCAATAATTCTATTTTTGCGTAATAATTTTATGGGTTCTAATTTCTACATAGTATAAAACAAAATCGCTTCCCGTCGTCTGTACGCTTAGATCTTTTAAATTACACAACGGATTTTGATGTGGTTTTCATCAATAGACAGAATTATTTAAGAGGAAGGTTTATATGTATACTTGTATATTATATATTATATCTTTCTTCTGTCCGTGTGTATGTGACTGAACTCCTAAATGACTAGACTGATCTTGATGAAATTTTGTGTGTGTGATTAAGTTGATTAGAGAATGGTTTAGATATACAATTGGATCCGGTAGGTGACGTTGTTGTCGACACCCAGAAATCAACCGTGCGAAGCCGGGGCGGATCGCTAGTGTCTTATACATATAAGCTTGTGCCAATTTATAGTTTTTTTCTTTTACTTTTTATTCATTACTAGCGACCCGCTCCGTTTTCGTATGGGTGATCTATTTATGTGGCACTCCTGGCAATGCTCTCTATCTGTTCGTAACTTAAGCCGGTTTAAATCATTCCGATGAGTAGTCCAAACACACAGACAGACTGACAAAATCTTTATAAATGCTTATTTATGTCTTAATGACCTGCAAAGAACCCCCTGAGCTTATTTCAATATTATACAACAAACATTTAAATTTTATTTATGTGTATAGATTATTATCAATAATAATTGTACTTCGTTGCTTGACCATTACCACGAGTAGAGATTTGCCGTAATCTCACTCAGAGGTTGCGATTAAAGTACTCTATAAATATCTTAGTGCTTAAAACATATTTACAAACCCCATTCAATTATAATTTTCCAGAGTATCGCGATAGCTCTTCGCTTTTTGTCCACACACTTGACATAAATTTTTAAAACCAAAGTAAAATTTCTGATAATATTTTGTATGGCTTAAAAATGATGTCAAGGTATCATCGTTTTTAGCTGGAATGAATTTATAATTTTTCATATCATAACAGTAGTAGCATAATGGTTGCCTAATATAATGGCTTATTGAACTTTTTCTTGTTAAATCGTTATCATCAGAAATGTCGGATTAAGTAAGGATAACAAAGTAATGAATGCTGTGGCCGTTAGACGCATATAGATCTAATCATTTTTTTTACATGGTAGAGCCATGCTGCAGCTATATTAGTAGTATAGTTGTAGCACGAATGGGTCGGCTCGACCGGGGAAAGACCACGCTCTCACAAAATACCAGCGTAAAATAGCAGCTTAACACTGCTTTGTTTCGTATGGTGAGTGTAGAGAACCGGAGACCATTTTTACTGGAAAAGAGGCATTCCATCTTAGTCCTCACGGGTGACAACGCATCTGCATTTTTGATTCGCAAACGAGGATAAATGTAGATGTCTATGGGCAACCATTTACCATCAGGTGGACTGTGTGCTCGTTTGTCACCCTATTCTATAAAAAAAAATCAAAATGAAGATGCGTAGTTCGTGATCCGTGATCCATGAGCACTGAGATTGAAAGCCTCATTAGCAATCAAATGGATCTCCGGTTCTTGTTATTCACTATACGATACTCTGCACCATGGAAGCTATTTTACTGACTGGTAGTTTGTGACAACATAGTTCTTTCCCTTTAGAACCGACTCATTCGTGCTGCTGCCATAATACAGCCGCAGTGTGGCTCTTCCACGTGAATGTAGCATGCAATAATAGATATAGCGGATCTTTGTGATAGAATATATTGAATAAAACTAATTTGATCCCTTATACGTGTAATTAAAATTAATTTACCGTATAGTAGCAGTGTAAGAATATCCACTACCCCATATCATCTTGTGGGTGTTGTAACAGGCGACAGAGGGAAACAAATCAGGAGATAGGCAGCAGCGTCTTCCTAATAACGACTAAAAATAAAAAAAGTCGGTTGCCAAGCGTGGCAATTATGGCAAATGATATGAGGCGATCTATAGGGGAGGCCTATATTCAGCAGTGGACTTTAAAAGGCTGTAATGATAACGGTAACTAATTGTGCATAAACTGCACTTGATCTATTTTTTTATCTTTTCAGGGCGAACAATCGGCATAATGATAACAGCGTCGCATAACCTGGAGCCAGATAACGGAGTGAAACTAATTGATCCTGACGGCGAGATGCTCGAGCAAAGTTGGGAGGAGATTGCGACGAGACTCGCTAATGTCAGGTCAGTGATGGCAAATGTTTGACGTAACGATTTCAACTAACGACCATATAGACCATGATGTCCTACTCGGAATAATGCGCTCTCTTAACGTATCTCCAACAGCGATTGGTTGGTTTCAGAGTTACCTGTCTGGTCGCCAGCAGCGTATACGTATCGACGATACATTATCATCTTGGTGTAACGTACGTGTTGGTGTACCGCAGGGAGGCGTTTTATCTCCTTTACTTTTTGCAGTTTTTATAAACTCAATATCCAATAATTTAACTTCTTCCTACCACCTTTATGCAGATGATCTACAAATATATACAAAAGCTTGTCCCAACGATCTCCCCAATGCTATCAATGTCGTTAATGCAGATCTCGATCGAATTCTTGAGTGGAGTAATGCATACGGACTTCACATTAACGCAGCAAAATCGCAATGCATTATCATGGGCAGCGCGCAAATGTTGGCTAAGTCGAGCCTAGATTACCTGCCTCTAGTATTTGGTAAAACTATTATTCCTTACAGAGATTCAGTAAAGAACTTAGGTATCCACATAGATAAGAATCTGTTGTGGGGACAGCACATCAAAGAAATTAATCGCAAAGTTTATGTCTCGGCAGCCTCCTTGCGTAGATTACGTAACTTTCTTCCCATTTCCACCAAAACTATGCTTGCCAAGTCCCTTCTCTTTCCTATTTTTGACTACGCAGACGTCAGCTATCTAGATCTCACCGAAGCTCACCTCGATAAACTTGAGCGAATTCAGAATTTTTGCATACGGTTTATATTTGGATTGCGCAAATATGACCATGTATCTCTTTTTCGTACTAAGCTCAAGTGGTTGCCAATACGACTTCATCGGAATGCTCACATACTTCATCTTCTCTATAGTGTTCTCTTTAATCCTTCTTACCCTTCTTACCTCAAAAATCGTTTTGAGTTTCTTTGTGATTCCCATCTTTTTCATCTCTTTTTTTTTTCTCTAACACACCAATTTGCCCTGACCTTGTCATATTCGTGCAATCCTGTCCATTCATTGTTTGTCTGGAAGAAATTTCTATCAGCAATAAGACCGCCCATTGCATACTTCTTTTATATATATAATTTCTGTAATTTATATATGGTGTGCAATAAAGAATATTAAATAAATAAAAATACTAAAAAATAAAGTGGTAAAATTAAACATTTTGTACAACAGACTTCAGTATAAAATGAGAACATCATCAATATAGCTGAAGTCAATTAAATACGCATTATTAAGGGTGCGTTTGCAAATCGGGCCAAATTATGCTGTTTTTCGGTACATTTTGTGACAAAACTAAACCAAATCAAATATAACTAATAACTACAACGTATAGAATGGTTCTTTATCTTCAAATGGTGGTAACTTTTTTGTTGAAAATAATAGTTTTTTACATTGTAAAAAGGATCTTCCCTAGCCATTTACTACAAAATTAACGATACCGGCTCATATTTCGGTACATATTTTGTTCTATTATCAACATATATTAAGATTTCTAAAAATACTGTAAGTAGGCAGATATATTCAATAAAAAATGCTGGTGATTACTTTTTATCAAAATGTCACAAATGGTCGTAAAAAAAAATAAAAACTGATGCTTATTTTTGACATATTTTGCTGATACGGATGAATCTTAATGGATTGCAATAAGGGTTATTTTATTTTTAGTGTCTGTTTTGATTTGTTGTACAAAAATTTCGATGAAACCACAGTCGGCGCTCGGCCGCTAGCGCGGCTGGTCGCTGTATCGCCTGCAGCAGCTGAAAAAGATCGCTGTACAAACACAAAATATTCGAATTTGATACATAGGTACATGACCTGACAAAGTAAAATAATACATACATAATATAAATATTTTTATAATCACAAATTCTTATTATAATGTTTTGTTTCGCTAAAAGCAAGTGGGATTTATAATATATAAATATATATAAATCCTATTCGTTTTGGACTTTATGGAGTGATCTGAAAGTATACGGTGAACGCTACTAGAACTCCTCGACGAGTTGAATTAGGTGTGCCGAGTTTGGGCTCATTATGTTAGTTATGACGAGACCTTACCTCCGGACTTGAAGGAATGACCTGAAGGTGTACTTCGGTAACTGCTAGTGGAACTCCTGGACGAGTAGAACTAGGTATGCCAAGTTTGGGCTCGTTTTGTTAGTTACGACGAGACCTTACCTCCGGACTTGACAGAATGACATGATGGTGTACGTTGGTGACTACTACTGCAACTCCTGGACGAGTAGAACTAGGTGTGCCGTGTTTGGGCTCGTTTTGTTAGTTATGACGAGACCTTACCTCCGGACTTGACAGAATGACCTGATGGTGTACGTTGGTGACTACTACTGCAACTCCTGGACGAGTAGAACTAGGTGTGCCGTGTTTGGGCTCGTTTTGTTAGTTATGACGAGATCTTACCTCCGGACTTGACAGAATGACCTGATGGTGTACGTTGGTGACTACTACTGCAACTCCTGGACGAGTAGAACTAGGTGTGCCGTGTTTGGGCTCGTTTTGTTAGTTATGACGAGATCTTACCTCCGGACTTGATGGAGAGACCTGATGGTGTACTTCAGTGACTACTACTGGGACACCTGGACGAGTAGAGCTAGGTATGCCGAGTTTGGGCTCGTTTTGTTAGTTATGACGAGACCTTACCTCCGCACTTGATGGAGAGCTCTGATGGTGTACTTCAGTGACTAACTTCTGGAACTTCTGGAACACCATCAAGTCTCTTATCAAGTTCGGAGGTAAGGTATCGTCATAACTAACAAAACGAGCCCAAACTCGGCACACCTAGTTCTACTCGTCCAGAAGTTCCAGTAGTAGTAACTGAAGTACACCATCAGGTCTCTCCATCAATTCCGGAGGTAAGGTCCCATCATAACTAACTAAACGAGCCCAAACCCGGCACACCTAGTTCTACTCGTCCAGGAGTTGCAGTAGTAGTCACCAACGTACACCATCAGGTCATTCTGTCAAGTCCGGAGGTAAGGTCTCGTCATAACTAACAAAACGAGCCCAAACACGGCACACCTAGTTCTACTCGTCCAGGAGTTGCAGTAGTAGTCACCAACGTACACCATCATGTCATTCTGTCAAGTCCGGAGGTAAGGTCTCGTCGTAACTAACAAAACGAGCCCAAACTTGGCATACCTAGTTCTACTCGTCCAGGAGTTCCAGTAGTAGTCACTGAAGTACACCATCAGGTCTCTCATCAATTCCGGAGGTAAGATCTCGTCATAACTAACAAAACGAGCCCAAACTCGGCACACCTAGTTCTACTCGTCCAGGAGTTGCAGTAGTAGTCACCAACGTACACCATCAGGTCATTCTGTCAAGTCCGCAGGTAAGGTCTCATCATAACTAACATAATGAGCCCAAACTCGGCACACATGGTACTACTCGTCCCGGACTTCCAGTAGCAGTCACCCAAGTATACCTTCAAGTCACTTCACCAAGTTCGGAGCTGAAGTTATCATAACTAACAAAACCAGCTCAAAGTCCACAGCCAAAATCTCACTCCCTGTAGATGGCTTCTAGTACCTAGCTGTCCCTGGAGCAGCCATTTATATTTCGTATCTAAGTATATTTTTGTAGGTAATAAGAAATATGAAAAAATAAACAATCTTTCAAATTATCAAAATGTTTATACTTGATTGCGATTCCCGCAGCTAACCGTGCGTACACTTGTGTGTGTGACCAGTGTCAATGTAATAGTTCGATTCTATACCTATCAATTTTGTAAACGCGTCCTTAAGGATAACTTGCCGTGTAGTGGCGGTCAAGAATACCACTACCCCATATCCTCCCGTGGGTGTCGTAAAAGGCGACAAAGGGAAACAGGCAGGAGATGGGCAGCAGCATCTTCCTGATAATAGCCAAAATGACAATAAAAAACTGCGGTTGCCAACCCGCTCGCCAAGCGTGGCAACTATGGCAAATACCCCCCCTATGAATGTAACAAAGAGACGGCCCCCAGTCCCCGGCGGCCCCGCTATTCCTGGCTACGGTGGCGACCATGGTAACGGCGGGGCAGGGGGTGCTAAGAATCTCCGGTGGAGGTTCGGTTGCCACCTTAGACGACTCGACCTGGCAACGTACAACGGACGCACCCTGAGGACTGACGAGAAGATCGTGGAGCTGGAAGAAGAGATAGACAAGTTGCGCTGGCATATTATAGGATTATCCGAAGTCCGAAGAGAGGGGGAGGACACGGTAATCCTCGAATCCGGCAACTTGCTCTATCACCGGGAGGGCGACCATCTGTCCCAAGGAGGTGTCGGATTTATCGTCCACAAGTCTCTCGTTAACAACGTTGTAAAGATCGGGAGTGTGTCGACGAGGGTTGCGTACCTTATACTCAGAATCACCAAACGGTATTCGCTGAAGGTCATACAGGTTTACGCACCAACCTCGGCACACCCCGATGGGGAGTTGGAGGAAATGTATGAGGATATCTCTAGAGCCATGCATTCCTCCAAAACCCAATATACGGTGTTAATGGGAGACTTCAATGCAAAACTAGGCACAAGAGAGAACGGTGAGCTGAAAGTAGGGAAATTTGGAATAGGGCAACGGAACCCAAGGGGCCAGCAGCTGGCCGACTTCATGGAGAAAGAGGGACTCTTTATGATGAACTCTTTCTTCCAGAAGCGGCCCCACAGGAAGTGGACCTGGTCGAGCCCCGATGGTTCGACAAAAAATGAGATTGACTTCATTATGACGACCAGACGACAACTGTTCAGTGATGTCTCCGTGATCGCGAGGGTGAAAACTGGTAGCGATCACCGAATGGTTAGAGGCACACTGAACCTAAACGTTAAGTTGGAGAGGTCTCGTCTAATGAAGTCAACGCTCCGTCCCCCTCGTGCTCTGTTCCAAAGTCCTGAAACCTTTCAGCTCGAGTTACAAAACCGTTTTCAGTGCCTAGAAGACTGCAATGAAGTGGACGATATGAATGACAAGCTCGTGGAAACTGTCCATGCGGTCGGAGCTAAGTTCTGCAAGACCCGCCGCAGAAGAACACAAAAACTCTCCGATCACACTCTTAATCTCATGGCTGTTAGACGGGAGATGAAGCTACATTCTTCAACAGACTTGACAGCATACAGGCATCTGAACAGACAGATCTCCAAATGCATGCGGCGGGACTTACGCAACTTCAATACAGCTCGTATTGAAGAAGCGATCGAGCGGAACCAAGGCTCCAAAGTCTTTGCCAGAGATCTGTCTGCCAGAAAGAGCCACCTGTCAAAGCTGAAGACAGAATGTGGCAGCATCATTTCCGGGACACCTGAGATTTTGAGTGAGATTGAGAGGTTCTATGGGCAGCTGTACACGTCATCGTTGGAGCCACACGCAAGTGTGAGTAACGATCCAAGAGCGAGTCTCATCCGACACTATTCCGAAGATATCCCGGACGTCAGTCTGAGCGAGATTAGAATGGCTCTCCAGCACCTTAAAAACGGTAAGGCCCCAGGCGAGGACGGTATTACAGCGGAGCTTCTGAAAGCGGGTGGAAGACCGGTACTTGAAGTCCTTCAGAAGCTCTTTAATTCCGTCCTCCATGGTGGCATTACACCGGAGGCGTGGAGCAGAAGTGCGGTGGTCTTGTTCTTCAAGAAAGGTGACAACGCTCTCTTGAAGAACTACAGACCGATTTCCCTTCTGAGCCGCGTCTACGTGCTGTTTTCGAGAGTCATTACGAATCGTCTCGCGCGCAGACTTGACGACTTCCAGCCTCCCGAACAAGCCGGTTTCCGAAAGGGCTTTAGCACCATAGACCACATACATACCCTTCGGCAAATTGTACAGAAGTCCGAAGAGTACAATTTGCCACTATGTCTGGCGTATGTGGACTATGAGAAAGCCTTTGATTCCGTCGAAATTTGGGCGGTGCTGCAGTCCCTTCAGCGGTGCCAAGTTGACTGTCGGTATATCGAAGTGTTGAAGTGCTTGTACAGTAGGGCTACGATGGCTATCCGAGTACAGAACCAGAGTACGAAACCTATCCAATTGCAGAGAGGTGTAAGACAGGGTGACGTCATATCCCCGAAACTCTTCACCGCTGCATTGGAAGACGTTTTCAAGCTTCTGGACTGGAAAGGATACGGTATCAACATCAATGGCGAGTACATCACTCACCTTCGATTTGCCGACGATATAGTCCTTATGGCAGAATCGCTGGAGGACCTAAGCACTATGCTCAATGACCTCGATAGTGTTTCCCAACGGATAGGTCTTAAGATGAACATGGACAAAACAAAGATCATGTTCAATGTCCATGTCACACCTATGCCGGTAGTTGTTGGGAGCACTAAGCTCGAAGTTGTTGACGAGTATGTTTACCTGGGACAAATAGTCCGACTAGGTAAGTCCAACTTCGACCGAGAGGTCAATCGACGGATTCAACTCGGCTGGGCAGCGTTCGGGAAGCTACGACACATCTTCTCGTCAGACATACCTCAAAACCTGAAAACGAAATTGTACAACCAGTGCGTGTTGCCAGTGATGACTTATGGAACTGAGACGTGGTCCTTCACTGCTGGCCGTATGAGGAAGCTCAAGGTCGCTCAGCGAGCTATGGAGAGGGCTATGCTCGGAGTTTCTCTGCGTGATAAACTTAGGAATGAGGATATCCGCAGTAGAACCAGAGTAACCGACATAGCCCAACGGATTAGTAAGCTGAAGTGGCAGTGGGCCGGCCATATAGCTCGAAGAACCGACAACCGATGGGGAAGAAAGGTTCTCGAGTGGCAGCCTCGTACCGGTAGGCGAAGTGTAGGGCGTCCCCCCACGAGATGGAGTGACGACCTGGTAAGACATGCAGGAAGTCGATGGATGCAGGTGGCTCAGGACCGTGCTTTATGGCATTCTTTGGGGGAGGCCTATGTTCAGCAGTGGACTTGTGAAGGGCTGTAATGTGTAATGTGTCCTTAAGGATAACTTAGGCCTGATTTCCTCCTACGCTGACGTCGGTTGGGTGCGGTCGTTCGCGTACGCGTACGTAGCAAACTACGCGCCGCTATCGTCAGCGTCGTAGTGTGGGGCTATATAGAAATAGAATACACAATGTACATTCGTACGCGCGACCGACGTACGCGACCGACGTCAGTGTAGGAGGAATTCAGGCCTTAAAAGCGACTGGTCAGCTTTCAAATAAAAATAAATCATCAAAATCGGTTCACCTGGAAAAAAGTTCTGAGGTAACACACAGAGATACAGTCGAAGTTATTTCTTTGAAGTATTTTCTTTTGATTTGAATTGCGTTAGCCTAACACACGTGCGTTTTAATCTGCCCGTATTCTTCCGGAGTTTTTTATAGTTGCTTCAAAGACACCCATAAGAGAATTCAATGATGGATTGGATAGCACGGTCTTTTGTCTTGTGTTTTTTACGTCTAGTTATATAATTATGAGAAACCTTAGAAAGAGCTCGCGTTTTCGGACTTCCGATATATAGCGGTATGACCTACGGCCTTTACGGTTGACGTAAAATATCCAGACCGGTCACGAGGTGCAGAGTCAATTGATACGTCTGGTAATCCAATTGCCAATCCGCGTTTGACTGCGGTACTTCGAGCTACGGGTTCGATACGAAATTTTTGTTGGTATATAAAAGTCTTCCCGACATAGAACAAATTTCTATAATAAAAAAAAGAGGAAATACAGATACTTCGTGATAATCGAAGGCTTAGTTTAAAACTAAAATAAGACACCTAACGTTTTAGCCCGTGGGTGTCGTTAATTTCGACGAAGACATATAACCCCCTCATGATCATGGGTGCTTCAAATTACTCGAAATATCAAAAGTGTAAGTTAAAATGAACGTAATAAAAATCTAAAATCGGTTTAAATGAATGTGGCGTCTTTTCTTCTCAGACATATGTCGACATAATCAACTAAAAATAGCTATAAACTTGTAGACTGACGATGGCGGTATCTGGTATTGTTATCCAAGTCATACCAAGTCATAACTGAGATGACTGCAATTACTACTGTTATTGTTTAATGTATTCAACATAATATAACATTATATTTATACAAATAAATAAAATTGAAGTGTCTGTTCGTAATATATACGGTACTTATGACAAAAAAAAAACAATTTTTAATGTCTGTCTGTTTGTTCAGGCTAATCTCTGAAACGGCGGGACCGATTTTAAGACTTTCACAGGCAGATAGCTAATGTTATTAAGAGTAACTTAGTTTACTTTTATTTTAGAAAAGGAGTTATGGTTCCGTGCAAAAAAATTAAAACCCGTTAAATCCGTCGTAATAAATTTCACGCGGACGAAGTAGCGGGGCACAGCTAGTACTTAAATAAACTTGAAGTGTCTGTCTGTTATATCAAAGTAACTGCCTTTTATGTAGCTCAGGGTTATTTGCTAGTCATTAAGTCATTGTAAAAAATTTGTCTATCGGTCTATCCGGGCTAATCTTAGAAATGGCTGAAATGATTGTGATGAAACTTCACGAACAGCATTCTATAGGTATTCTAAAAGCAGAATTCTCTCAGTATTCTATAGGATGCATTTCATGCAGGAGGAATTACACGCTTTAATTCCTCCCTCTCCTCTCCACCATAGGACAACCAGACGGTCGGCGGTTCTTCATCCCTTTGTTGTCGATATTCCACGCATTAGAACCAAACGGTTTGCTTCGTCTTTTGTAATGCGTACAGCAAAGGAGTGGAATAATTTGCCGGCGTCTATCTTTCCGTCCGAATACAATCTGGGCGTCTTCAAGGCAAGAGTGATTAGGCTTTTGTTATAATTTTGTTAAAAAATAAGACAGTGCGATTTACCATCTAGGGCTGCATCACCACTTACCACCAGGTGGGATTGTGGTCAAGCACTGGCTTATAATAAGTAAAAAAAAAGCAATACAAGCAGTGATCTAAGCTATATTATATGCGAATCATTTGAAGATTTGTTTTATGAAATGGATAAATTCATAATTATTCAATTCATGATCATTGATAATTATTTGAAAAATTTTAAATAATGTCACATTTATAGATCTCCCAGACGTAAACTGGGGCGATTCGCTGGTTACTGGTAAATTCTAAGGGTTTTTAATAAAAGAAATCAGATAAAACCTTAACTTTCTTATCACAAACAGAAATATCTTGTTATTTTCAGTGACAATGACTTAGAATCAACAACGGAACAAGTTATAAAGGAAGTCAACGCGGACATGTCTCTCAAAGCGTCCGTCTTCATTGGAATGGACACAAGGTAAGATGTAATCCCATTTATGCTATCTGATATATTGACCTCAATCGATCTGGTAATTACCTTTTTAAACATATATCAGTCACAAATATATCTAACTCGTCTTAAGGTTAAGTTGAAGAAAAAAAATATTTACCTGTTATGTTTTTATGCTAGTGAAAACTATTTTACAGTACTTATACAGTGCTGTTTTATACGTATTATGCCCAGATACTAGAATAAAATAGAATGATTTTTATTCAATATTGATTATTACATAATACTTATTGAAAGTCTTTTTTTTATTTACCACTTGTTCGGAAAATACCTCAGTCCTGGGAAGAACCAGCAAGAAACCCAGCGGGACTTTTTTTTAAACACAATTTCACTTAAAAATAATTTTGTTTATACAATTTTAAATGAATTTTCATAGAACCAGCATGATGGCGGTCACCTTATTAACCTTACTCAGACACTACTCAATTTTACACTACTTAATCTGCTGTTGTCTCTATCACTTTAAGTCAAACCGACTGTGACAACACGAGACACAACATAAAATTGATTAGCTTTTGTATATTTGGCCTATAGGGCTACGCTGCAGCTATATTATGATTGTGTCACGAAATGGGTCGGTTCGACCGGAGTAGGACCACGTTATCACAGAAAACCATCGTAAAATGGCAATAGGAAACGAGGTATTCCATTTTAGTCCTCGGGGATTATGTACCTTGGATAGATGTAGAGGTCTAATGCCACAGCATCCACTTACCATCAGGTGAAATGCGTGTTCGTTTGTCCCCTATATTCAATTTAAAAAAAAAATTCCACTATGTTTTAATTTTAATTCTATTAGAAAACTGTTTTGCAGAACGACAGAACTATAGAACTATTTTGAAGAAGGGCATTCCTCCATTCCTTTGCATCTGAAGCTTAATTATTTCTTTTATATTATTTAATGATTTATTCTATGTATAATTTACTAACCGGCTCGTAGCCGGCGCGTTGTTGCCACAGAAAGAATAACTGTGGAAATGTCATTTTAAATTTGGAAGAGTTATAGTGTTTAATTTGGAATGGTAACACATTAATTGAAGAAGAATGTAAAATAACTTTCAAATAAATTCGCCTGTAAGATACGCGCGCCACCTATTATTAGTTAATTGTACTATGCCTATAACCTTAGCGCAAGCAAGTACTAACAAATTTTTTTGTTATTGTTGAAATATACTGACTGCTAATTCCATACTCTGATTTCTTGCAGTAGGATCGGTACTGGGTGAACCCAATCGTAAGAGGTAACTATGAGTAATGCCACAAATATCTCATGGCCTCCGATAGATGAAGGTATAACATCTCATATATACATCTATATGGTAAAAAATACCCAGACTAGCGAAGAGGCGTACCGCCATAGGTTTTTTTTATAGAACTGAAAAGACAAACAAACCTACCTGATTGTAAGTACCTTCTGCAGTCCATGGATGCACGCCATTAACTTTATAATCGGCTTTTTTGTGATCTCATCACAAATACTCTTACCATTTTTTACACGAGAACGAATAACAGTCAATAGAGTCATGTGGTAGACGACATGCTCCAGCAAAATGGTGTAAGAAAATTTACAAATATGTCTGCCGACCGCCACTTATTACTGGTGAGGTCGTCGTCCGGCTGTAGCTTTATACGCTTTCATGAAAAGATCCTACTCCCCGTTACCGGTCTAGATTGTTCTATCATTTCTCATAGCCTCCTCTTAGACACGATAAATCGTGTGATTCTTTAGTGTTACCACCACAAATAATATACGTGTCTTATGAAGACCCCACGGAACAAAATGGTCGGATATTTAACTATTAAATATCTTATTTATTAAATTATAAAAAAAATATTCTTTCAGATACACGAGCCCTCGGCTGGCAGCCGCCGCTGTTCACGGAGTGATAGCGCTGAAGGGAACGCCAAAGGAATTTGGTATTGTCACCACTCCCATGCTGCATTTCTGCGTTAAGTGCCGGAATGATAACACGTATGGAACCCCCACTGAAGAAGGTATTTAAACATTTGAAAGTTATTTTAGGAAGCGCTTTGGAATAACAAGTTGATAAATAATAGCTGCATTTCTTCTTCTTTTACCCTCAAACTAATTATAATATGTACATAACATTTTTCAAAAACATTTGGCACCCTCAACCGCAAAAACACTACACGAAAGTTGATTGACACTGCCATAATAAAGCACTCTAATCAACATGTCTTTATGTTATATATTTTTGGAACGATGTTCCTTTTCGGACGATACGAATTTGGCGGTTGGGGGCTAGACGAGAAAAAGATGTAAGATTTTTCTGTCACGAGCCCTTCTGACGTAGTGTAATAATATCCATCTTCTACGCACTTTTTCTTATCTTGCCATGAAATAAATATTATTTTATTTTAAATGACGCTTCATTTTAATAGACGCTAAGTAATTCATTTATTTGTATTTTGTGGTATCATATTTCAGGTTATTACGAGAAAATAGTGGGAGCTTTTAAAAATATCCGTCAAAAGTTACCAGTAAGTGGAGAGTACAACACAACGCTGTATGTAGATGGCGCTAATGGCGTTGGCGGAAAGAAATTGAATATCATAAAGAAGACTCTGGATGGGGAGCTCGATCTAGTCTTGCATAATTTGGGCGGAAATGGCGGGAAATTGAATTTAAACGTAAGTTTGATCATTTATATATAAAGTAAGATCATCATCATCATCATCATTACAGGCCTTCACAAGTCTGCTGCTGAGCATAGGTCTCCCCCAAGGAACACTACAAAGCATGGTCCTGAGCCAATTAAAACCATAGAATCGGAATGCAGTTATCCGACTAATTTTTTTTTTTATAGAAGAGGGGGCAAACGAGCATGCGGCTCACCTGATGGTAAGTGACTACCGCTGCCCATGAACAACCGCAACACCAGGGGAATTGCAGATGCGTTGCCGGCCTTTTAGAAAGGTGTAAGCTCTTTTTTTGAAGGTTCCTAAGTCGTATCGGTCCGGAAAATTCGCTGGTGGTAATTGATTCCACAAGGAAGTTGTGCGAGGGAGAAAACTTCTTCTAAATCGCACAGTGGTGGACCGCCAATCATCCAGATGGTATGGATGGTAACGCGAGTTTTGTCGCGATGTGCGATGGTGAAATTGAGCGGCTGGAATTAGTCCGAACAATTCCTCAGAGCACTCCCTGTGGTAGATGCGATAAAATACGCAAAGAGATGCAACATCTCTACGCAGTGCCAGTGTATCGAGCCGATCAGAAAGAACTCGGTCGTCGACGATTCGAATCATTCTGCGCTGGATGCGGTCAAGTGGAAGGAGCTGGCACTGGGGTGCCCCGGCCCAGAGATGAGAACAGTATTCCATGTGGGGCCGAACTTGCGCTTTGTAAAGTTGCAAGCGATGTGCCGGCATGAAATACTGTCCCGCTCTGCTGAGCACGCCAAGCTTTTTAGAGGCCAATTTGGCTTCCCTTCCAAGTGATCACGAAACTGCAAACTATTCGATATGACGACGCCAAGAATTCCGATACTAGCTGAGGCAGCTGAGAGTGCCTTGAAACTAAGGAGATACGACAAAGGGGTTCTTTTTAGCGGTAAACGCGCAGACTTGTGTCTTCTGGGGATTGAACTGGACTAGATTTAGTCGGCCCCAATCAATTATATTAAAATAATGTAATTAATACACTATACGAATTATATATTGTTGTGATATTATATACAAAATAACACCTTTTATCGGACACCCACGCAATTCACCTTGCTTAATATTTTTTACGTTGCAGTGTTTTGACAGTTCATATCCATTGTATAAAATTAAGTTTACGGATTTTATCGCGTTTTAGTTAACTTATTTTATTTTCAACGTTTCGGGTGCTTTACATTAGCTACGGTCACGGGGAGGACTGAAGCTAATGACCTCTCGATGGCACAGTTAACTTTTAAATTAAATATTAATTTTTTGTCCAAATTACGCAGAACGAGATTTTCAAGCAGTTCTTTTGCATGGAACACCGATTCCTACCAAAAATTATTTACAAGGCTATTCAAATAAAAAAATCCCAAATTTCAATAGAGAAGATGGCTGGGTGCTTACATCTGTGTGTGCTTGTCACCATGAAGCAAATACAAAGAGGAGACGTTGTAATTAAATTTCACTATGTAACAACACGTGACAATTTGCGGGGTGAGGGGACTGCAAAGCCCCGCCCCCTACACTATCTACATCTACCGATAAATAGTAAAACTACTCGAATCTTTCCATATCGATGTTGCAATGTAGCTTAGCTACCTTGTCGGTAGATGGCGGCATGTCCACAAAATGTTATAAACTTTAAAAATAACACTTTGGCGATTAAAATTTCTTTATGTCAGAATGCAAAGAAATTTCAGCACCTTCGTATGATTATTTTATCATTACTGAGCTCTACGTACCTTTATATTTTTAGTTCACAGGACACAAAGTGTCGCCATCTAGTGTGGAATATATTTAATTATATTTGAAAGCCGACGCAAAGAGATTTTTCTAGAACTATTTTAATAAATCAGGTGTAAAATTACTTATAAATGAAATGTGATGCCATCCATAGCATCGGAGCGTCTACCTCATGAAGCAAATACATTCAGACAAAGAAATTTTAATCGCCAAAATAATATTTTCGTAGTTTTCATAATAATCTTGGGAACAGGCCGCCATCTATCGTCAAGTAAACCTCATAAAAAATAACAAAAAGACAGGGCCGCAATTAGAATTCAATTATTTTACCCAGTAACCCAACATTCAATATTAAAATGAAGGAAATTGTACTTGGCTGATTTTTACGAAATGTCTAAGTGACATTCTATATGCAAAGAATCACCTAAATACAATTTAAATATGTTTATCATTTCGTGAAAGTGAACCAAGAAATATTTATTTTATCCATAAAATAAAGTCTCTTTGAAACTGAATATTCTATGTTCAATATTAAGTAGGATATTTAATTTGGAACTAAATATCCTACTTATCTCACTAATATTATAAAGGCGAAATTTTGTGTGCTCTTTCTGTCTCCTTGAGCTTATTCCACACTAAGTATGTGTAATTTTTTCACGCAGAAACGGCTGGATTATTATTTATGTGTGGGTTATACTACTTAATATCTCTGAGGGAGAACAAATAATAGACAAGTTATTATAATTAATATAATTTTAGTTACAAATCAATTAAAATATAAATATTTTATTCCAAATTAGGCATCCGAATGTACTTCTTGAATGCCAATCTAAGAACATTAAATTGTATTTAAGTGATTCTTTACATATAGAATGGCACTTAAATATAACTTAAACATTTCGTAAAAATCAGCTTAAGTACAATTTCCTGCATTTAATATTAAAAGTTGGATTACTGGGAAAAATAATTGAATTCTAATTAGGGCCCTGTCTTTTTGTCATTTTTATGAGGTTTACTTGACGAGAATACGGCCTGTTCTCAAAATGATTATAAACTATAAAAATGATATTTTGCGATTAAAATTTCTTTATGTCTGAATGCAAAACAAATTTCAGCACCTTCGTATGATTATTTTACCAATACTGAGCTCTACCTTTACATTTTTAGTTCACATGACACAAAGTGTCGCCATCTAGTGTCGAATATATTTAATTATATTTGAAAGCCGACGCAAAGAGATTTTTCTAGAACTATTTTAATAAATAAGTGTAAAAATATTTACAAATGAAATGTGATGCCATCCATAACATCAGAGCGTCTATCTGAGTAGTTTTTACACAATAAAACACAACACTTCATCCTTTTCTTCTTAATACTACGAAAATACACCGATTTGCGATTTTTTCAACACATAAGCGCACAGGACGAATGCTGACAGTATACTAACTAAAGCCACGCCCACTATGATGACGTCAGGACCTACTTAGAATCACAGTGCACAGTTGCTTATGCCGTCTCCCCTTTGTATTAGCTTCATGCTTGTCACTGAACTCCTAAACGGCTGGACCAATTTTGAAATTTTTTTGTGCGTATTTCTGAATGGTTTAGATTCACAGTTGGACCCGGTAGGTAGCGCTGTTGTCGAGATCCAGAAGTTACCCGTGTGAAGCAGGGGCGCATCGCAAGTAATTAATAAAATAAAATTCAAACCCAAGCATACCTATAAAAGACTTCAAGGTAATGTAAGATCCTCCCTAACGGGAATGGATCATGTCCAGCCGTGGACTTTTACGAGCTGATAAAGAGGAAGACTAATCATTTAAAAAAGAAAAGGGAATCTATTTTACAGCTGAGTCTGACATCAGGGATAAGCATTGGCTAAGTGGGAAGCAGGGACTTAAGTGACAAGGCCTCTCTCTCTCTCTCTCTCCCTCCCCAGGATGCCTATGCAAATGCCATGCTATCCCACAATACCGGAAGTGCGAGCAATAACCTAATAAAATATATAATGCCAAAAATATATAACGATAATGATGAAAGTTTAGACTTCGAGAGGGATTGGGTTGACATTTTTGGCAACTTTTCAGTGTGGTGCGGACTTCGTGAAAGTGTCACAGAAGCCGCCGGTGGGAGTCGAACACGTGCCCTTCCAGCGTGTCGCTTCACTGGATGGTGACGGCGACAGAATTGTCTACTACTATCTCGATGACAAGTAAGTAACTTAACGAACAACCGCATGGCTGAGTGGTTAGAGTACATTGTACGAATTCCAGCCACGTCCTGAATTCTAAGAAAATACCAATCCTCCTACTCAGTTAACAGCTGCAAAAAGAAAAAGCCCAATACATAATCAACTTTATAAAAATCTGTTTAGAATACAAAATTGCTTTATTCATTATGACAGCGTTAGAGAATCGTCTAGTGAATGTTGTTAGGAAGATATCCGGGCTGCGTTTAGTTCAGACGTAGTTAGTACAAACGTAGTCCTCTGTTTTCTTCTTGGACAATAACACTAGAGCAAATATTGTTTACGAGACAATCTATCACTGCCGTGTTTCTATGTTTTTTCGTAAAGTATAATTAAAACTAGGATAGAAACCACCTAAAACAGTCCAGTTATACTGCCGTACTTAGCCACCATGAAAAAAAATCGAAACATACAGACACAGCTACAACCTACCTTATATTGTTCTTGAAAAAAAAAGTGGTAATCGGTCCAGTTTTGCAGTAGGCAACAGGGGAATACGGGATGATGATGTAAATTTTTCATTCAGTACTAGCTGCAATTGTCTCTCGGTTGCCTAACTTGAACGTTTGGGCACAGCCTAACAGCAATAGATTGTTAAAAGCCCATTCTTATTTTTTTTTAACGCCGATACCCTCTAAGTCTAAAGAGACGACTATGGGAAATAATTGGAAACCTCTGGGCTACCGGCCGATAGATGGCGCTGTATCGTCTTTTATGTGCCAAATAACTAGCGTTTGTGAGAAAGTTAATCCTTCTCACAATGGAAAATGCCTAAGACATAAGGGATACTTACGGGTTAATAAGCTTCCTTTAACTATAATAACAGCTTAACACTACTGTATTTCATATGGTGAGTGTAGAGAACCGGAGACACTTTTTACTGGAAAAGAAGCATTCCATCTTAGTCCTCACGGGTGACAACGCATCTGCATTTTGATTCTTCATTGAGGATAGATGTAGATGTCTATGGGTCACAGAAACCACTTACCATCAGGTGGACTGTGTGCTCGTTTGTCACGCTATCCTATAAAAAAAAACTATACAAGGTAGTACCATAGTGTTCAAAGTGCCAAAAGGTCGAATTCCATTCAGAGCCAAATTTGTGTAAATATAAATAGGGTTGGATTTGTCATCGACACGGCCCCGAGGTTCGTCAACTCATTAAAAAAATATATTATAAAGATAATGAAAATATAATTATAAAGATACGGCCTATAGGCCGTATCTTTATAATATAGTATATATACTAGTCCAACGCTGGGCACAGATCTCCTCTCATTTCTGAAAGCGTTATAGAGTAATAAGTCCCGCCACGCTGCTCAATATTTTTTATTCTTCAGACATGCAAGTTTTCTCACGAAATATTCTTTCATCGCCGAGCACTTGGCAAATCTACACTTAAAAACATTTTGTCGACATGTGGAAACCTGCAATTATAGACGGTGATGTCCGCCAACACGTAACACAAAGTGATGACATAGCGCTGTGGACTATTTTTACCCTAAAAACCTTTTCGGAAATGAGAATGGAGTCTTACTCAGCAATAGAACAAGGCTAACCTGTGACTTTACATAATGATTTCTTATATTTACGCGAAGACTACACATTAAATGAAACTAATTTTACGGATTTTATCGCGTTTAATATAACTTTTTAATTCCCGACGTTTCGGGTGCTTTACAACAACCATGGTCACGGGGGACTGAGGTGTTCGACCTCCCGTTAGCCCGACTACCTTCAGTTTTTGAATATATTTTTTTTTTAACTTTTTTGAATTAAAAAGTTACATTAAACGCGATAAAATCCGTAAAAATTAGTTTCATTTACTGTGATTTTACGTTTTTTTTTTTTAGAGAAAGAATGCACCTTCTGGACGGAGACCGAATCGCCACGCTCCTTGCTAGCTACATAACCGAGTTGTTGAAGGCTTGCAATGCCGAAGAACTGCGTTTGGGGCTAGTGCAGACTGCATACGCAAATGGAGCCTCAACAAAATACATTACAGAGGATCTGGTCAGTGCAATTATTTATACTTGCAAGTAGAATTCAACACTAAAGCTTCATCTCTCTCCCAAGTATCCAAAGTCATATACAAAGCTCTAAACCCAAGGGAACATTTATGGAAACACGAGTTCTTCAGATGACATCGTTCAAAGAACCGTGACGCCCCGACATTACATTGAATAATACCATATTATTAAGGGTGTTAAGGCTGGATTCAACCAAATATCATGTTACACCCGAGTAACTAACCCTCGAATAATTTTACTCTTTCGTCTTACTCTCAGATATCTTCGTTTGCGTTTTTCCAATACAAACGTGGAGTAGCCAATACTGGGTATTTGTTACTCTAGAGTTTGTGAAACAATAACAACGTTTATTTTAAAATATATATATATAATGCTTAAAATGGTTTCAAAATACCGGTAAGGAACTGCTAGTACTAAGCTGTTCTGGTGCTGGAACCGCAACTGAAACTGAAACCTACATAAAATTTACTTGTATTTTACCCGTACGAGCGAAACAAATTTTATCCTATTTCAAATGGATCATTTCTGCACAACGTACCAAATTATTAACTAATATTACTAGTGCGAATACATCATACTGTTATATTAAGTCTTTACATATGATGCCTTTTTGTTGAAGTGACGACTTTGAACTTTAGAATTGTAAATCAAACCTTCGCTGGTTTGATTTACAATTCTAAATTTAAAAATTTTATATTTTAGGAGTGCTATTCCTTTTTATAGTGTAACGGTGACAAACTTAACGTAACGTAAAAATTAATTTGCTTAATGGATATATGCACAAATATCACTATTAAACAAAATAAAAAATAAATGTTTTTAAATACAAATTTAACTCTTAATTCTAATGTATTCACTCTTTAATATCTATTGAACACCGATAGGTCAAGCTACGTCAATATAGTATAACTACGTCGGTAATATTATAAGGTAGTCCCACAGAGCAAATACAAAGAGATTTTATAATTAGATTTCACTATGTAACGTGTGACAATTTGCAGAGTGAGGGGATGTTAAGCCCCGCCCACTTTACTATTCCGTCTACCGATAAATAGTAAAACTACTCGAATCGTTCCATATAGATGTTGCAATGTAGTTTAGCTACATTGACGATAGATGGCAGCCTGTTCACAAAATGATTATAAAAACTAAAAATAATATTTGGCGATTAAAAATTCTTTAGGACTGAATGCAAAACAAATTTCAACACCTTCGTATGATTATTTTACTAATACTGAGCTCTACGTAACTTTATATTTTTAGTTACCATGACACAAAGTGTAGCCATCTAGTGTCGAATATATTTAATTACATTTGAAAGTCGACTCAGAGATTTTTCTAGAACATTTTTAAAAAATTAGGTATATAATTACTTACAAATGAAATGTGATGCCGTCCATAGCATCAGAGCGTCTATCTGAGTAGTTTTTACACGATAAAACACATCACTTCATCCTTTTCTTCTTAATACTACGAAAATACACAGGACGAACGCTAACAGTATACTAAGTAAAGCCACTCCCACTGTGATGACGTCAGGACCTAGTTAGAATCACAGTGCACAGCTGCTTAATATGCCATTTCCTCTTTGTATTTGCTTCGTGGGTTAGTCCACTTAAAACAGATCAGCTGTGTGCCTATATTGTTAAAAAAATATTGCGACATCTAGCGTCGAGTAGCAGAATTTGTTTGTCAATCTTAGAATCATTTTGGATAATTAGTCACTGTATTACTGCGCGATTTCTCGTTAAGTAGTTGAATTTGTTCGTACTCAAGCTGAGTGCGAGTAACATTTATACTTTCTTAATTATTGCTAATGAGCCAATCACGCGAAAATTATTTCTTTAAGGAATGCAATAAAGAATAAATAAATAAACCTATGGTCAAGCCAAAGAGTATAGTAGGTCAGGCCAAGGACAATATTTTTTTTTAAATGAAGGTAAATATAATTTAATTATTAAGATGTTCTTATAAAAAAATAAAAAAATTAACAACAATTAAAATATTGAATTATTACAAATAAGATATGAAGATCAAATGAGCGCTAGAGAAACGACAATTGTTGTCGATAAATAAAATATTTGAGAAATTATCAATTACCGTGTAGTTGCAGTGTATGAATATTCCTATCATTCCGTGGAAGTCGTAAGCGGCAACTAGACTTGGGGAAAAGTTTATTTTTAAATAACCGTGATCGTCATCGTTAGGCCGCGGGGGCCGCGGGTTCGAATCCAGCACGGAACAAGTATTTGTATGGCCTAAAAATAATTGTTCCGGGTCTTGATGTTTGTCCTTGTGCAATGTATGTTTGTAAACTGCCTCCACGACACAGGAGAAAATCCTAGTGTGGCGGTAACGTTTTTTAAAAAAAATCGTTCCTGTTACAAAAAAGTGACAGTAAAAATCATTGTGACTTTGTCACGTTAATAACGTTGGATAACTACTTGGAAGATTTGAATGACTTATAACGTGACTTTAAATATGTATTATCGATTTAGTATTAGGTTTCATTTCAGTAGTCGATTTTTTATTATCTTCCTTACCTAAGCTACGTGGCTATTTTATAAGAACCATTCTAATTATTATTTTTGAAATATACGAATTTCACCTAACATAGCCGATCAGTCGGTGTACCGTTCCAGTAGACGGTACATGTACCTTGTTATACAGTAGCAAGGTACGCGTAGTTCCATTTGTTTGGTTAAATCAGTGACAGGAGTGACGGCGCGAAGGAACAGCGTTATTTTGGAACGTAGTTAGTCATCGTGACTTTTAGGCTGATCACGGTGACTTTTTCACCGTGATGTTATTTATCACTCATGTCTAAAGGCGACAGAGGGAAATAAATCCTGAGATGGGCAGCAGCTTCTTCCTAAAGCTGAACGCACATTTGTCCGCGCCGTACGCGCCGAATTTTACTGATGGCCTCGCACACTTGCATGTACGCACCGTCCGCAAATCTTTTGGATTGCCAACAACTCTTGCAGTTTTTTCCAACCACTGGTGTGAAACGGTACATTAGATAGATTAAATTGAAGACATTATCGCTCGGAATCACTATGAAAAAAATATTGTAATACCCTGGTTATTGGCAGAGGAAGAAGAAAACAAAATTCGAAGAAAAAGAAGATTCTGGATTCATAGTATTAATTTAAAAAGGCAATTATATGGAGTGTATTATACTTTATTTAAAGACTTGTTATATGATGATGAACGATTTTTTAGATATTTGCATTTAACATATAAGAAATTTTTGTTACATATATTAAAACCATATCTTTCAGAGCAACTATGACAAATATACCCCTATGAGACAATGTATGGGCCTAAGGCCTATGTTCAGTAGTGATTTTTATAGGATGTAACGGTGTTTGTTGTAATAGGGATAAAAAAATGTAGGAGGAAAATAGGAACATTTTTTTTTATTTAATCTCGGTGGAACGCCGATGCTCCGCGCGATGTTTAGGGCAGCATTGCCGAGGTGGGCGATATTTGAGGCAGTAAAATGTTGCTTCCCTTTATTTCCATGGCCCATGGCCAGCAGTGGAAGAAAACTGTAAGGAGAGGGAGGGGGTAATTTTATTATTCCAAAAAAAGTATTTTTGTGTGTAATAATAATTAAAAATTAAAAAAATTTGTACAGCCGACTTCAATATAAGTTATTAAGAATAACTCAAATAACCCAAAAACTATTGGTCTGACCTTGATCAAATTCATATGGAACCACACGAGAACTATCAGCTTTCATATAAAAAAAAAAGAATCAACGAAATCGGTCCACCCAGTAAAAAGCTATGAGGTAACACACGTAAAAAAAAAACATACGCGTCGAATTGAGTACCGTCTCCTTTTTGGAAGTCGGCAGAAAAGTCATCAACATCAAACAATTTATTAAACAAAAGTTGCGTTAACAAGTTCAATGGTTAAAACAGTAATCAATAACAAAACCAAACAAGTTTCCTGAAAAGAAAAAAAAAGAAAATATATGTCACTTCTACAATTAAGGCAATTCAAACGAATCCTAATATATTAAAATCCAATATCTATATGTTAAAATCAAATAACTACTATGAAGAAAGAAACAACGACATAGAAACACTCGAAATTTTATAAAGAAAAGAAATATGTAATATAATTATATCGATATACTCAGTAGGAGCCCCTAAAAATAAAAAAATATTTTATTTTTATTTTTAGGGACTTTATTATGGTGGCATATCTTTGACCAACGCCATTTTTTTTTTGAAAACAACTTCGCCATAATATTCACTATATATCGAAATTACCACATAGAACGTAATTTTTGCATATTGGCTCTTGTGCAATATGAAACTTTGTGTTTTTTACATGATTTATAGTTATAATAACTCACACTTTATATTAAATTTTCTGTTTATTTCTGACGCCGTGAACTACTTACTTTCATACGTGAAAGACGCGGTACTTGAAATGCAAATTTTATAAATTTATAAAATTGTTACGATACAAGATATAAGCAAATAACTTTTAAAAACCGTGTTAGTTTTTTATATAAAACTTAACTTTGATATAAAAAAAAAACACACAACAAACTTTATTTTGTATCTACTTAATTTTTTTTTAATTTGTAGTTGCCTCTTACACTCGCGCGGCGATGGAAATAGACTGAAGTATATGCAGTAAATGCGACGCGTAGGTAAAGGCGAAAACTTGTTATTTGAAGTAAATTCTCTTAATTTAGAGAAGTGTGATTTAGTAACGAAACTAATTCTAATAATACTTTAGTTGTATAATTCTTATAAATAACATTTATAAAGGAATTATTCTGAGCACTCTTATATATGGTTCTGACTAAACGTAGTGATTATATACTCTTTGGTTCTGAGGGTTCCCTTCTAAATATTACCATACTCTTTAGAGGGTTCTACAAATTTGTCAATTGTCATCCTCGTGTATTTACCCGGATCTCCACAAATTATACTACAAAGACTTAAAGGCTTCCGCTCTCGTCGTGGAATCTAAGTAAACAACGTAAGTCGGTACTTCGAAACTGGTATCCTAAAACCAATACCGTAACCAGAACAGTAACTGTAAAACATTTATGAAGAACAGAACTTTGTACATTATTTACAGAACCTAAATGAAAATCCCCGTTGATTTTTTAGTAGGCTTAATATTAGAAAACTTTCTTCTGTTATTATTATAATTTCTTATTTTTTTATATTTTTCCATTAGGCAAAATTCTTAAATAAATGATATATTCTTCGCTTCTTCTTAGATAAATTAATAAGCGCGAGTAAATAATAGAAGTCGTTCTTCGCATACTTCGTCAGTAAGCTATTTGACAATGGCCCCATTAGTACAACATACTGGTGTGGTAAGGGATCTATCAGACGGAAGGCGTACACGCGTTCAAGCGTTCCGCGTTCGCGTTCTGCGTTTGTTGTGTTGTATTACGTTACATAGACATACATAGACAGCAGACATTCTGATTTCTGACTGCGTCAGTCAATCAGATAGCGATCGCGCGTTCTCTGCTGTTTCGGTGTCCACATCGGAAGGAAGATGGAAGACCGCGAAATGTAGATTATCTTAGTACGAGAAAGTTTTTTATGTGAGGTGAAGAATGAACCGAAAAACCGAGGAAAAGTAGCAAAAGCATGGCTAGAAATTGCTAGAGAAATGGGGACCGCAAATAAATTATAAAAAATGTTTGCATCAGTAAACCACCAACAAAACAGTCTATGAAATTCTCCATCTTATTCTCTTCTATTTACTGATGTCGATCCGTTTTGATGCTGATAATGTCCACAATATCAATATTTCGTCTTCCGATGAAGAACTATAGTTAAAAAACTTGGTGACTCCACTGAACGCTCGAACGCAAAACGCGAATGCGGAACGCTTGAACGCGTGACCGTTTTCTGTCTGATAGAACACTAAGTGCAGTGTTGGGCGACCCCCCACTAGATGGAGTGACGAACTGATGAAATATACTAATTAAAAAAAATAATATATATAATATAGTGGATGGATACAGGTGGTTCAGAACCGTACTTTGTGGAAATTTATGGGGGAGGCCTATATTCAGCAGTGGACTTGTGATGGGCTGTAATGATGATGAATATATATAGCTGACTAGGAAACCGATGGGAAAGAGGTTCTCGAGCTTTACAACGGTAAGCGGAGTCTAGGGCGAACCCCACTAGATGAAGTGACGTCTTAGGAAGACATATTATAACGAAATCTTGATGATGACATCATTATGACAGACGATATCAAATTGACAATTACAATTTTTTTTTTATAGAAAGTGCCCGTAACATGCGTGAAAACGGGCGTGAAGCATCTACACCACGCAGCTCTGTCTTACGATGTAGGCGTTTATTTCGAGGCTAATGGCCACGGAACTGTTGTTTATAGTGAGCTAGCGAAGAAAAATATCAGGAAGATCGCAGAAGAAGGGTAAGTTTTATTTTTATTGATTTTTTTTTAAAGTTACACTAGATATTGTAAAAACAACAATTTTACATACAACCCAAAGCCGGAGTAAATATCTGTACTGGGGCTCAGACCACCGCTCTACAGACTCAGTCACGATATAAGTATATTATGGTTATTAGTACGAATGTGTCGGTTTGACCGGGCAAGGACTGCGCACTCACAGAACAGAATTTAAAGAACCGGAGACCCCTATTACTGGAAATTAGGCATTTTTTTTGTGGCTCACCTGATGGTAAGTGACTACCGCCGGCCATGAACAACTGCAACACCAGGGGAATTAATTGCAGATGCGTTGCCGGCCTTTTAAAAAGGAGTACGCTCTTTTCTTGAAGGTCCCTAAGTCGTATCGGTTCTGAAAAATCGCTGGTGGTAATCGATTCCACAAGGAAGTTGTGTGAGGAAGAAAACATCTTTTAAATCGCACAGTGGTGGACCGCCAATCATCCAGATGGTATGGATGGACGTGCAATGGTGAAATTGAGCGGCTGGAATTAGTCCGAACAATTTCTCAGAGCACTCCTCGTGGTTGATGCGATAAAATACGCAAAGAGATGCAACATCTCTACGCAGTGCCAGTGAGTGAAGCCAATTGTAAAGAACTCGGTCGTCGACGATTCGAATCGCTCTGCGCTGGATGCGGTCAAGTGGAAGGATCTGGCACTGGGAAGCCCCTGCCCAGAGATGGGAACAGTATTCCATGTGAGGCCGAACTTGCGCCTTGTAGAGTTGCAGACGGTGTACCGGCATGAAATACTGTCCCGCTCTGCTGAGCACGCCTATTTTATTTTAGTCAAATTTTACAAATATCATCTTAGTTCGCAAAGATTATGATTATTAATTGAAGATAGATGTATGTATCTATGGCCCACAAAATCCACTTACCATCAAGTGGACTGTGTGTTCGTTTGTCACCCTTATTCTATAAAAAAACATTACATTAAATTTTTTTTCTATCGTTGCAGTGATGCTGAGCAACGAAAAGCGGCCAGCCTTCTCCTTAACTTCATAGACATGACAAACGAAACGGTCGGGGACGCCATCTCAGATCTGTTTCTAGTAGAAACTATTCTATGTGCGAGGGGACACAATGTAAGGCAGTGGATGAAAGCGTACACTGATTTACCCTGTCGACTACTCAAAGTTACCGTCCAGGTACGTTATTGTAAAATCCATAGATAAATGTCTATTGCACAAATACTCAAAGGCTGTTCAATTTTAAGATGCCGTTCGTGCTGTCTCGATCATTTTTAAAAAACAAAAATAATTCTTAATTTTACCACTGGTCTGGAGAAGAACCTCTGTGCTGGGAAAAACCAGCTAAAACCCAACAAGAGTTTTTTGTTAAAGTAACTTCATACTTACCAGGCGGTCCCATAATGAACTGGCCTGATATAGTTCAACGCGACATGTCGCTACATGTTGTGTTGCATTAAATAGTATGTTTATCGTGCACTTAATATAAGAAACATGCATTGACATGAAATGCTTAGTCTTAGTTTAACAGGCATTTGAATAACGAGAGTCGCGTATTTTTTCAAAATGTCGAAAACTGAGTATCGAAGTGTCATAAAGTTTCTGTTTAAAGAAGGTTTATCCCCTGCCCAAATAAAAGAACGATTGGATGGCGTGTATAAGGAGTCTGCCCCCTCCTATAGCACAGTGAAAAATTGGGTGAAAGAGTTTCGCCTCGGGAGAGAAACCGTCGAAGACTTTGGCCACGACGGTCGACCTGTGGAAGTGCTCACTCCTGAAACGATTGCTCTTATCGAAGAGGAGGTTCTGAGTGACCGCCGTTTGAAGATTAGAGAAATTGCAGCAAGGCTTGGGCTCTCTAAGAGTACCGTTCATCGCGCGATCCATGAACATCTTCACATGAAAAAAGTGAGTGCAAGATGGGTACCGAAACTTCTTTCAGCGGTACAGAGACAGGAAAGAGTGCGCTGCGCTTCGGAGTTTTTGGATCTTTGTGGCGAAAATCCAAAGACTGTGATCGAGCGGCTAGTGACTGGTGATGAAACTATGATCTTGTATTATGATCCACAAAGCAAGCGCGAGTCAATGGAATGGCGTTATAAGGGTGAAAAGCCCCCTAGAAAGGCAAAGGTGCAACAATCGACTAAAAAACTGATATGCACAATATTTTGGGATTTTCAAGGCATTTTGATGGTGGATTTTAAAGAACGTAATACAGTCGTGAACGGCGAATATTATGCTTCTTTAATATATAAATTACGAGACAAGATAAAGGAAAAACGAAGAGGCAAGCTGTCTAAAGGTGTCCTGTTGCTCCATGACAACGCCCCTGTTCATACCGCTGGTGTTTCGAAGGATGCAGTTCGTCAATGCGGGTTCACAGAAGTTCAACATCCACCTTACAGTCCAGACATGGCCCCGTCCGACTATTATTTATTTCCAAATTTAAAGCGGGACTTAAGAGGAAGAAAATTTTCAAGCGATGAAGAGTTGCAGGCGGCTGTCTTCAGTCATTTTGAGGATAAAAAATGTGATTATTTTTATAAAGGTTTAGAGATGTTGATTCACAGATGTCAGAAGTGTGTTAGTATTCATGGTGATTATATTGAAAAATAAAATTGGTTTCGTTTCATTTCCTTCATTGGTTCATAGTTAGGCCAATTCATTATGGGACCGCCTACGTACAATATACAAAAGGTTGTACAATAATTACAAAACTCATTTGAGAAACCGCCTCGAACCTATCAACTCATTCCCATGGGTTATTATAAACCAAGTACCATTAAAATTTACAATTTTGTTTAATTTAATATTTAAACTTGGTAAAGGACCTTGTCTGACTATTTCTTGTGATTTTATTGTCCCATGAATGAATTACTGACTCTGTGGAGTCGAATAACTTTAGAACTTTAGATATTTTAATATACATACTAAATTCCTATGTTTTTAGGACCGTAACGCAATATCAACAGCAGACGCGGAGCGGGTTTGCACCTCTCCGGAAGGTCTACAAACGAGGATCAATGAACTAGTTTCGCGATACAAGAGCGGGCGTTCGTTTGTCCGTCCGTCCGGCACCGAGGACGTTGTTAGAGTGTACGCGGAGGCTGACACGCAGGAAGTATGTGCTAAATTATTTTATCATACCTTTTATTTTGCTCGTTTTATTAGAAGAACTGCTTTCATTCATTCATAAAAGCCTTTCAAAGTCCACTGCTGAACATAGGCCTTCCCCACAGATAGGGGGGATATTTGCCATAGTTGCGCATTTTTATTTTTGGCTATTATTAGGGCTGCTGCCCATCTCCTGGTTTGTTTCTCTCTGTCGGACGATATGGAGTTGCCAATATTCGTATAAAATATTCACAAAATAATTTAATAGTCACACGAATCGAATTTACTATATCTCGTAAAAGTTTCGTAAAAAATTTCGTAAAGTCGTAAAAAATTTCAAAACATGAATTAATATTGATTCTTGTACTCATAAAATATACCGCGGGTTCTACGGTATTTTTTTTATACTTTATTTACTTTTTTAAACTACTCTTACTTAAACAAGAGATATTTTTCACGGAGACCTTAAAGTTCCCTCATATCTAGGATCTGAAATACACATTTTTAAAATCATTTTTAAGAGTTGGTAACAAAAATACATTATAATCGCTACTGAAAAACATTAATTTATTACACCATGTTCATGCATTTCGGTCCTCTTTCAATTTGTACTATTCAGAATTTTTGCTGGTCTAAAATCTTATAATAAGACAGGGCAAAAAATACATCAAACACTTTTAAACAATTGTAGCTATACTTAAAGAAACTTTACTAACAATCCTAAAGCTCGACCTGTGGTACAAGTAAGAACAGTTATGGCAAATATAAGTCATATGAGGCAATCAGTGGCCTATAGGCTGTAATTAATGAATAATGAATGAATGATTTGATTACCTTCTTTACTCTTTTTAACCCCCGATAAAAAGAGAGGTGTTATATGTTTAACATGTGTATCTGTGGCACTGTAGCTCCCAAACGAATGAACCGATTTATATTTAGTTTTTTTTTGTTGGAATAGTGACTTGATCGAGAGTGTTCTTAGCTATGATTCAAGAAAATCTTTTCAGGCGTTTGAAGATAATCAACTGTTTTTGTTTCGGGGATTTTTTAAAATTTGAACTCGAGCTATTTTGTTTTGTTTGTTTTGTTTTTTTAAGATTTTTTTTACCTTCATTTGATTAGTACGAGTGAGTGCCGCTGTTCTAGTGCGTACACTTGTGGCACTATGATATATCTTGCTGCAGTTGTTAGTTTGTAAGAGTATTTGGATATTGTAACTGGTCGAAAATCGTCAATCGTATATTCATCATCATCATTACAACTCTTCAAAAGTCCGATGCTAAACATAGGCTTCCACCACAAAACAAGCTCTTGAGCAACTTGCACTTGCAATTATCGACATTCTGCATGTCATACCTTATTGTAACTCCATCTAGCGGGGGCTGCCGTAAACTCTGTTTATTAGAACCACAGATTAAAATAATAGTACGAGAACTGAAATGAACTTGCCACTTTAAATCCTTTCTTGTTGGGGATGGAATGGGTTATTATATGCTGATTGTTAATTAATAATTTGAATAATATTTAATAAATTTGTATTTATTTCAGTCGGCAGACAAATTGGCTGCAGAAGTCGCACAAGCAGTGTTCGACTTAGCCGGAGGTGTGGGTGAAAGACCAAAGTTACCTGCATAGGTAAATGGACAAACATAACAACGGGATGGTGTATCTATTGTATAATATTGCAAATATTTTAAAACATGGAAAATAGAAATAAAAAAAAAACAAAGAAAACAAAAATTTACACACCATTATGATAATATAGTTATGATCATCTTATTTTAGATGATAATAATTTTCAATTATTACAAAAAAAAAAATCAAAAAACAAAGAATATTAAAAAATAACTCGTATATGTAGGATTATGGGTGTTTTGATAATATTATGTAATATAACCCCGTCCAAGTTAGAGCTTTGTCTTAGAAACAACAATACCTTATGAATATAAATACCATTATTTCTTATTACATGTACTAAAAGAGGTCAAAGTTCATTGAAAAGCACATAGAAGAATCTCCAGTCAAGCATTTTCAGAATGATAAAAATTAAATCTGAAAATATTTGTCACCGGTTCACAATAATAATGACTAAATAATTAATTTTTAGTTCACAGTAATAATAAATATTAATGACTAAATATTTCATCGTAATAATAATATTGTTGCGTATTTAAATTTTCTAAATAGCAACACAGGATATTTTAGAAGGCGGGAAAAATTATTGCCTGTTATTTTTTTTATTTTTTTTTATTTCGATATATATTTTTAATACTAGAACGTGAATCTGAAACTAAAACTGCCGTTATGACATATTTATGATGTTATATTAATAGTGTAAATATATATTTTGTAACAATATCAATTCGACTTTCAAATACTAGTCTTTTGAGATTATAAACTCAAGTACAATATAATCTAGCGTTAATATAAATTCTTAGTTAAGAAAATCAGAATGAAAAACATAGTATATATACCTTATATACGAAGTTTCTTTATTAACTGGATAAGAATAACAAGCTCAAGTTGTTATACTTAAAATGCATGTTTTGATTCTGAATTATTAAAATTAGATTAAAATTATTATTAAAATTAGATTATATTATATTATACTAATATAAAATAAATGCGATTAGTTAAATAAAATGAATATTAAATACTGTGCAAGCCCTTTAACCAGTTTCATATACTTTTTATTAATTTCAAACTAAACTTTTATCAATGTAACTTGCTCATATGCTTAGGTTGACATTTGTTGTGCTCATGAATATTTAGGAGGAATAAAAATAAGTGCATGCAGTCTATTTTATTGGATCAACGAATAAGCCAGAAGAATGGTGAATCAAATCGAATTTCTTTCAAGTCGAAGTAGAGAGCTCGTTCAGTTCAAGTCTTCTGTTAAAATGAAAAATTAAAAAAAATTAAAAAAAATTAATTAAAAGTTAATTTTTGCGTGAATACTTTATTATTTGTTAACTATTGTCATAAAGATGTGCAAAGATAAAACAAAGGATGTAGGTTCATTTCCTTTGCCGTCAAAAATATATACTATCCTACTAAACTCATATAACTACTTATACACTTCATTAATATACCCATTAAATGTCTATTGTGTGTAGATACATGTGGAAGAAAGTACTAAGGATAAGCCACCAAGTGCCTAGGTTATCAAAGAAAGATTTTTAAGACTGAGGAGTAGCGCGTGCTGTTTGGTCACGCAAAATGATATTTCGAAATAATCCGTTGTAATTGTCATTAAACAATTATAGTAAAAGTCAAGTAACTGCCTATGTATGTCCCGTTGTTGGGCTGGTATCCTAGAGAGGGTTAAAAGTATTTTAGGGGGATGTAATCAATTTCTGTATTTAATTTCTACCGTTTTATTTTATTAATACTTTGAGTAAGTTTATTATTAAGTTCATTTTAACTAAAAAAAAATCTGTTAGAGTATGATAAACACTTGTAATAAAAAAAATCGCAATCGACCTAAAATTTTCACGCAATGTCTCTCATTGAGTTAATGAGAGAATTAAAGATATAAATATTCTACATATTACATATTGTACACATATTTATATAATATTTGGGCTTACTATATCAAATATTGCAAACCCCGTACAAAAGACGGACATCAAATAATTTTTTTAATGTGGATTTTTTACTATTGAAACAATTATTTTTTGTTATATTTTTACCGTTTTATTTTTTGTTTCTTTTGTAACAAAAAAAATCATTTAACTTATTGCTTGTGCGTATATAAAAAGGTTACAAAGTATTGCTTGTTTTTGGAGAACCGCTACCATTTCAAAATCCTGCAAAGCAAATGCTGTTATATTATGCCTAATGCCACAAATCCTATAGCAAACACCTAAACACTTGATGTTATAACTCATGAACGCGAAAATACATCGTATTGCATTCACTGATTTTATCATATATAGGTCAAAAAGTTTTAAAATTTTTGTTTTAAAATTTTAAGTAGGTAAAATTTTGCGGGCAATGATAAATTATTTAAAACATTTAAACATCATTAAAGTGAAATAAGTATGTTTTCATGTAATTGGCTATTTCGTTACTGAATTGAATGAGACGATGTTGTTAGCTATATTTTAATAATTTTAGGTTGTATGCGAAATTGAAGTGATTTTTAATTTGATAAGACTATTGTTATTCCATTTTGTATTAAACTGAAATCGCTTTGCATTTATAATAAACATTCGAGTTTAATTATAATTGGATGTCTTTTTGAAAACGTATGTGTGATTATATCCATAATGCAAAATATGCTCAATTCCTTGGTAAAATTTGGCGCATACTGTCTGATATAGATATTCATAAGTATCGACGCGGACCGTAATTGATAAAAATATAAGAAAGAATTTTACGATTGCATTGAAAAATAATAAAATAAACCTAGAAAGAAGCGAGTTAAACACAAACAACAGATATAACAAAAACATCTTGAGTAGTGGAGAAAACTCAGTTTTATTTATAGAAATACTGGTAATCAAATAATTACGTTAAATATCAATATATTGACTGCCTAAAATTACAAAATGACTAAAAGACTAAAAGACAATGAATCAATGATGTAATCCACCGTTAATTCGTTTAAAAAAAATAACCGAAATAAGTCCGTCATATTAGTCAACCGAGAATTTTCTACTAAGTGGACTTACTGAAAGAAAAAAAAAAGGTAAATTAGGCAATTAGTTGATGTTTGTCCAAATTTTATCAATTAGTAACTTTGTTTCTAGCCACGATTCTGACCAAATTGTTTTTAGTCAAAAATCTTAATAAAATTAAAATAATTAAGGTGCTGATGTTAGAATTCGTATGCCTTATTCATACATATGGTTGCAGATTTGATTATTTACTTTATTCTACACAGAGCATTTATTCATATTTTTATTTGCGTGCTATTGGTGAATAACTGCGTATTATTTAGTTTATGCTGTACTGTACTGTTATATCACGTAATAAAATATTTCTGATCATATTTTTGTTTTATTTCTTATCTTTATAAATGATAATACTCAAGTGTTTGCCACACCATGTTAGATGAAATTCATCATTGATGTAGAAAATTATTTGTGTAGGTAATCTTTTAGAAGTTCTACTTCTTTTGGGGCGTTTGGTAAAAATGATGAAAAATATAATTAAATAAATTCGACACTAGATGGCGACACTTTGTTTTATGGTAACTAAAAATATAAAGGTACGTAGAGCTCAGTATTGGTAAAATAATCAATCATACGAAGGTGCTGAAATTTGTTTTGCATTCAGTTCTAAAGAAATTTTAATCGTCAAAATATTTTTATAATCATTTTGTGAACAGGCCGTCATCTGTCGTCAAGGTAGCTAAACTACATTTGTGATATGATATGAAACGATGCGAGTAGTTTTACTAGTTATCGGTGAATGGAAAACAGTTAAATGTTTAAACATAACTGTTTAAAATGTTAATCTCACCCCGCAAATTGTCACGCATTGTTAGTGTTACATAGTGAAACTGAAATCTAATTACAACGCCTCTTTGTATTTGCTCCGTGGTTGTCACCCCTGAGAATGATGATGGAATACCTCCTTTCCAGGAAGAAGAATCTCCAGTGTTTTACTCACCATACACTAAACAGCAGAATTGAGCTGCTACTTTACTCTGGTATTCTGGGTGGTCCTTACCTCGTTCGTGCTACAACCATAACAATATAGCTGTATCGTAGTTCTACCACGTATAAAACAGGTTATATAGCCTATACCTCCACATAGTTAATACTAGTTAATATAATTTATGTTAGAAACTATTTTATTACCTTTGATAGATACATAGATAGATAACAAGATCCCCTGCCGAAAAATGCCGAGTTGCCGTTGCATAAATTCAAGGCGCATGTAAAAAGCATTATGTATAATGAAAAAAAGTTTATAAATTAGAAAAAAGATTGTTTATTTTCTTCAATTTTCTTTAACTCATGTACACATATATTTTATAAGGTTAAGTTGTAACCATAGAGTAATCTATATGGAAAATTATAACTGTTGCGGTAAATTGAACCTCACAAGTCTGGTTGTGAGGTTCAATTTACTCCGCAATAGGTACCTGTTGAAGCAGCGGCAGCGGTGCTCTTGAATTTTGACGAAACAGACATGCGTGATGTGCGCTAGTTTCCACGCGATTGTCTCGCATAACGTAGTGGACACCGTAGACTGGTACGAGCCCAAGAGCGGATCCTCCCTACAACTTACTTAAGAAATAAATAAAAGACCTTTGTCAGTAACAAATTTAAGATTTTTATTTAACGAAACGTGAATACCGTGTACAGAAAACGAAACTTAGTCTAATTATAACTTATATAAAAATATTAATCTTAATAATTGTTTAATATTAATATCAAAAACCCTACTGAATGAATTACACAGTACATTTTGAACGATTTTAGAGATCAGGTAATTTAACATTAATTTATTTTTAAATATAACTTGTAAATTAAAAAAAAAAAGAATAAATTAATAATTGTGAATATTTGGTGATGATTTTTTGAAACTGTTATTTTTTAAATGTTCATTAGTTACAAAAATCGTTTCTATTAATGATAGGAATGTATGTTTTGATTGATGCTAAGAGATGCTAAGTAGAG